TGGCGCTCAACTGAAATGTAAACAACATCAGCTGATTAGTGATGGACAAAGTACTCACTAGAGATGGGTGGCCGGCATTACCCACCGTCCGCCATTGCCCCGCTCTCCCCTACCCAACTGCAGCTCCAATGGTGTCTTACACTGGCGGATCCAGGGAGGGGGCATTTAGGGCCATGCCCCTTTCCCAGAGGCCTAAAGTGGCCCGTTTGCCCCTCCCCCAAACGATAATGAAACATAGTTCAATCAGTGCGTGGCCCAGGAGCCGAGTTAGACTGGGGGTGTTTTACCACCTCCCGGCCCGCAAAGGGACCCAAGAACTGACTCGAAGCGGGTTAACTGGTCGACAAAAGCAATGGTAAGTGTTCACAAAGTAATACCAGTATAACGCCTTTTGCGGCGACTAACGGAGCGAGCGAGAGGGTGGGCCTTGCACGTGCGAAATTGCGAGGGGGTACCTCCAACTGACTTGTGTACGGCACCCTACTAACCGGTCTCTAGCGACGTGCCAAATTTGGGCACAATCGGCCCAGCCGTTCTCGAGATCTGGAAGCGGCACCCTGCACGTGCGCACGTGCAAAATGGGTCCCAATTGACTTGTGCACGGCACCCTACTAACCGGTCCCTAATTGTGTACCAAATTTGAGCGCAATCGGTCGAGCCGTTCTCGAGATCTGGAAACGACCCCTGCACGTGCGCACGTGCAGCAGCACCCCAACTCTGGCACATGGATATGCAGTGCCTGGTGGGTGCCTACCTACATGCCAACTTTCAGCGCAATCGGCCGAGTAGTTACCGAGATATTGCAACAATTACAAAACGGACACCTCTTCGTTTTGCACGTGGCACGTGCATAAGGGGTCACCCACATGCATCAGGAATAGTCCAATACTTGGTAGAAGGAATGAAGCTACCCTACAAAAATTACCGCGTGTAAATCGGTCAAGTGGTTGCTGAGATATAAGCCTCGCAAAAGCGTGACCACGGCCGGCCGGCCGGCCGGCCGCTCATACTCAGAAATTTCCGTTAATCTAAGGAAAGACTACGCTCGCTTCGCTCGCTCCGTAATAAAGGCATGGGTCGGGTGGACTACCATTTATATATTTTTCTTTTTAGTTAAAAAAATTAATAGTGTCATAGCTGTGACGAAAAATAAGTGGCCTAAATCCGATGAGAAAACAGGATTTGGGGGTACCCTAGGTTTGGCTCCGCATGAGTTGGCCCCCCCCAAAACGCAAGCCTGGATCCGCCAGTGAAATTCCAAAACATTTGGGTACGAAATGTATGGCGAAATCTAATGAAAACTTATCGTAAAGCTCATGGGTCCGTGCCTCCATTCACCGTAAGGAATTACTCACATTTCAACAATGTTCCATCAACCGGTGATTATTGCTACATACTTAGGTAGAGTTATTCTGCAGCTTAATGACATAAAAACTTACCTCCGTCTCCATGGTGCGTTGCTATCTTGTCCTACTTCAAAATTTCGCCGAGTGCAGGGCGCCTCGTTGTTTAAATACGCATGTTGAGCAAACTACAAATAATATCTGAAGTAAATCGTTAAAGCACTATTACTTGAAGTAAATCTACACTTTAAACAACGTTTGGCGACATAAAAAGCGCGTTAATTCAAATAAGTTCCTCTCCCCGCTCACACCACACGCAACCACGTGGGCACACTTCCGGCAACTGAAGTCAACGGCTTTCCTAACGGTTTTCCTGCAAGGTCGAGCTATTTCATCTTCGTGGTGGACCGGCATGGCTAGAACACAAATGACGTCACACGACAATGCAGCTTGCTGATTGGCCGGGCATTGACTCAAACCACTGGACCTGAGCTGTGGTTCGCACCAGGGTTACAGAGTCAGAGTCAGAGTCGGGTGGAGTTGACAGTTGTGGCCGGAGTCAGAGTCGGAGTCGACGACGACTTTGGAAGCCGGGACTGGAGTCGGAGTCTGGGTCACCGAAAATCAATTGATACCGCAGCGTATCCGGACAAATCTTTGCATGGCATTTCTTCGTCGCGCAATTCTTCGTCCGCAAAACTTCGTCCGCTCATTTCTTCGTCCGCGCATTTCTTCGTCTCCGCTTTTCTTCGTCTTGCATTTCTTCGTCTCGCATTTCTTCTTCCGAGCATTTCTTCGTCCCCGCATTTCTTCGTCCGCGCATTTCTTTGTCTCGCATTTCTTCGTCTCGCATTTCTTCGTCTCGCATTTCTTCGTCTCGCATTTCTTCGCCGCGCATGTCTTCGTCTTGCATGTCTTCGTCTCGCATTTCTTCGTCCCGCATTTCTTCGTCTCGCATTTCTTCGTCTCGCATTTCTTCGTCTCGCATTTCTTCGTCTCCGTATTTTTTCGTCTCGCATTTCTTCGTCCGCACATTTCTTCGTCTCCGCATTTCTTCGTCTCGCATTTTTCCGCAAATCTTCGTCCGCAAATTGACAGTGCAGCCTGCTCATTGGGCTATTGCCTATTTCATCTCCGTAGCGGACCAGCCATAGCTAGCTCACACATGACGTCACTCGGGGCATTGATTCAAATCACTGAGCCTATAACCAGGGTTACGGAGTCAGAGTCGGAGTCCGTTGTAGTCGACAGTTCTGGCCGTAGTCGGAGTCGGTTGGAAACGACAGTTCTGGCCGTAGTCGGAGTCGGAGTCGATATTGGAAGCCGGAGCTGGATTCGGAGTCTGATTCACCGAAAATCTCTTGACTCTGCAGTGTTGGTTCCTATAGGAACCAACACTGCAGAGTCAAGAGATGGTGGTATACCACCAGTGACGTCAAAACAATTTCTGTAATAATTTAGTGTTTTTTGATACTATCATGTGAAGTTTTTGAATCCTATGGGTGTCATTTCACTCAGTTGAGCGTTTTCGTAATCCGTGACTCGCTTATTAGGTGTAATTTGACCCTCGGTGGTGCCATAATATTTCGGTTTCATTTGAAACCATTGGGGCTCAAATGACACCGGAATATTATGACACTACCGAGAGTCAAATTACACTCAATAAGTCATTTGAACGGAATATTATGACACCACTGAGGATCAAATTACACCTAATAAGGGAGTCACGGATTGCGAAAACGCTCAACTGTGTGAAATGACACCTATAGGATATAAAAACTCCTCATGATAGCGTCAAAAACGCTTAGATGTGTTATTTTACACTGACACCGTGCAGGATCTTTTGACACGACACCTAAAATGGGAGTCAAAATTTTGGGAGTCAAATGACCCTTGGGTATGTGATTCTGACCGAGATCAATTTACACTAAAAAACGGTGTATGGACACTGTTTTTCAGAATCGGATTACACCATGGGTGTCAGTTGATTCCCAAATAGGGGATCGTGATTCCCGGGGGGAGTAATTATTTTTCTCCGTGCACCGATGCCGATCAAGACCCGAATCCAGACCCGGCATAGAACACAGCTCTGCCCTGACGTGACACATTACCCCGGTGTGTCACTCATGACGGATAGACCAATGCAGGAGCCTTGCCAGCTCCTGTTGTACCTACTTCGTTAAATTTTCGATTCTCGCTAAGTTGCCGTTTCGTCGTTGGAATAGAGTTACGCGGCAGCATATTGGGGCTGCGAGCCACCGTCCCAAAGCAACTTAAATTGTCAACAGCAATGCAAAGAAGTCTGTTATTGCTCAGAGCTTGCTTTTTGAAGAATTAACAAGTGATACGGTACGTTAAGAAGGCAGCTGTATTCTTGAAACGGATTGCTTCGAGGCAACTACCCGGAATCATTCAGTATTTTCTGAGGTCTGCTTGAGTTATTTTCTATACCATCGACACAGACCACCGTGGCAGACGCACCGATGCTGCACTGAAACTTTCCGCCCCGAAAACATGGGATAGCTCACCCCGATCGTGTGCAATAAGACCACGCACTTATAACTTCCCACCGCCCAGCCGGCCGCCCGGCAGATGTGGCGCGCGGTGCCGATAAGGCGCTGCCGCCGCCGTGCGGCGTCGAATTCTCGCCCTTATTGACAGCGGCCGGTCGGCGGGCATAACATGGTCCTCTTTAAGCCGTTTGAGCAGCACCTAGCAGTAATACTTTTCGGAAAAAAAGGGTATCATTGGACTCAGAAAAGAATACCGCACCACATGAGCCATGAGCCCATATACTTTTCCAAAATTCGTTTTTTTTTTAACAACCCTATTGTGCATTTTTCGATATGACAACTAGATCTCGCTGTGCATGTCAATATATAAAAAGTGGTTCAACTGGCCCCGCTCTCCCCTACATTTTGTAACCTTACTAAAGCTGTAGCACTGACATTTTTCGACACCCACGGGCCACGAGTCCATGACAGCGAAAAGTCGGCAGCCAGTGAGCGGACAAAGAAAACCAGGACGCGTAAAAAACCTGTCCATCAAACAACAGGAACAAGTCAATCACCCACCCACAGAGCGTTTCGATGACAAAGATTCAGTCAGGATGGACACTGGACAGGCAGATTTGGCCGTCAGCAACAGTTGGACATGACGTCACCAATGGGACGCGTATAAAAGAACGCTTACTCGTGTGACTTTCCAACAGAAGTCAGCGATGTCAAGCTCCTTCTAAATAGAGCTGCTAAAACATATTCACGCATTTGGCAGCTACACAGGTCTTGCAGCGATGACGTCAGCGTCGAGCTACGGCTTGCTCAGCGTGACTCTGCTTTTGGTCATCTCTACGACTACAGGTAAGATAAATATTCGGGCGAAAGCCTTCCTGCCGGAGCAACTAAACATCGGCCAAATTTATCAGCATCACGGAATCCAAGATAATTGCTCCCTAAACAGAAACCATTGGATGAGAAATTTGTGTTTACATTGCTTCCTTGCTGATACAACCAGCAATTAATTTCTTTCACAATAACTGTCCGTCAAATAGCATAAACATGCTGTCTTCGTCTGTGCAGTACCTTCAACATACCCCATGCTATCTCTTAGCATCCAGAGTCTTATAATGGTTCTCTTCTCCAATCCCACAAGATGCACAAGATGCATATAGCCACGAATGTCTTCAGTGGACTCCATGGATTAATGCCGACCAAAATACAACTGACGGTGGCGATTACGAGCTGATCGGCTTCAATCTGGACGTGGAGGGGGGCCGGCCGGGCCGGGTGACCCGTGAGCTGGCGCGGAGGGGCATCGTCTGCAATAACCCCGTGCAGGTTTGTACCGAGTGCTGGGTGTCATACGAAATATTTAATACCCGGGCGTTTTGATGCAACTTGGATCAGGAGTCCTTGTTTTCTGAAGGTAGAGAATATACGCTATAGTTTCTGCTTACTCAGCATGATGCTTAGTTCCTGTCTATCGAAATTCGATATTAACCGTTTTCACGACGGCCATCTGGTAGGTTAGGTACACATTTGGTTCACATCTGGTGCAGATTAGGTGCAGATTTGGTCAAATTAGGTTTAGTGTGTCTCTTAGTAGCTATCAGCTAGGGTTGTACTAATTGCTGATATGCCTGCTTTGTCATATTATCAGAGAGCATCATCGGTTAAAACACTGAAATAAATTGCTAAAATAAAGATATTTGCTGTAAAAGAGATTAGGTGCAGATTTGGTCAAATTAGGTGCACTCGCCGGATAGCCCGTCGTGAAAACGGCTATTAACATCGGGTCAGGTTAGCCATAAGCTGAGTTCATATCCTTCCTGATCCTTTTCAGGTGGAGTGTCGGGAGGCATCTAGCCACCACCGTCGATGGTTTGACACCGGGGATGCCTCTAAGTCACCAAGGTATGCCCGCTGCTCTCTCTCCGAAGGCATGGTGTGTCAGAACAAGTACCTAACCAACGGCAAATGTCACGACTATGAGGTGAGGATTTCGAGTACGGCCCGCCAGGCGCCAAATACGGACGAGATTAAAATACATTACATTGACAGTGTGATTGTTGGGCCGTAAAAGCTTCTGATTTGTGCTGGTCTCTCAGCTCAAGCTACAAAACTGCTATTCCCGTTCAAAACCTCATGTTATGAAAGGTGAACTATTTTCTTTAAGAAGAGCCAACATCATTTTTATCACCATTGATTCCGCCTGACGCTGTGGTCCGTCAGATCCGTCTACTCTGCTGGACGGACGAGTGTTCTCAACTCAAGTGGAGCGGGTGGAGCGACATAGATAATCCCAGCGGTAACTGCGACTGCGAGATGAGAACTAACACGCGACCCGGCTGTCCTGACGGTGAGAGGCTTAGGGTCTGTTCCAGTCGCACTTCCTAACACCTCAACTCCTCCAAGAGCAAGATAGAGGAGGTTGGAGCAGGGCCCTCCTTGGCTTTGTAGGGGCTAGAGCTGCCACTGGAACAGGGAAGCAATTTTGGGGGAGTTTAGAAGTGTTAGGAAGTGCGACTGGAACAGATCCTTAGGGAGATCAACTGACCAATGACGCCACCTAGGCTAAGGTGGCTCTGTGCTTTTGTAGGGAACTCCTTTGTAACGAAGAGTTCTTACAACATTAGGTATCACTCAGAAAACACTTTGAGAACATTTTTGAATAAGGGCTCATATGAGTGCCAAAACAGGGCTCAAATCTGTATGATTTTAAAATCGGTATCAGTTAGGCGCCCTTTTCGGGCTCAAAGTACATTAGCCCCGAAAGCGGCTTCAGTTCGTCTTCCTTTTCGGGCTCAATTCGAGCTGCGTTTTAGGGCTCCATACGACATTCCGCCATTCCGTCTTTTGCTGTTTTCAGTGCCATGTGTTGGTGTAGGTACCTACCGCCGTGATTTCAAAATGAATGGTAAGTTATTAGTTATCAGTTATCGCTATCTTTAAGAAAAGATCAAGATGTTGATGCTCATGCCATTTTAATCCCTTATCAATTAAAATTGTGGTGGCATTTGTTCAGAAAAGGTCTGATCTACAATTGTGGCGCCGTTGATACGAATACGCACGGGTTTGATTATTCGTTTTTCTTGTATTTGCGCCACATGAAAGCATCATATCTGGATTCAGGATGTCAAATAGTGTAAGAACTAAGAATGTGCAAAATTTTTGTCTGGTTCTTCGTGATGATGTGATTGAAGCAATGCTTTCAAGGGTAGGTAAGGATTTTGTTACTTGTTCGTAATGGTTATCTTGATGCTCAACTGAAATTAATCCTAACCTTGCCTACTAACCTATTAAGTTAAACTTAGTACCAATACCTACCGGCTACCAACCTACAACCTATTTGGATCTTTCATATACTTATAACATGCTGCTGCTTCTGCTAACATGCTGCGGAATGCTGGTTGACATGATGGAATGCTGGTATCACAGTGTTCCATGTTTCAGAATTTTAGGTGAATAACCACACATGATGGGGAAAATATTTTCATCCTAAAAATATGACAAGTGGCTTTATTTCATCTTTGCTAAAAAAAAAATATGTCAAAAGTTTGATTCAACAGCCAGCTGCCAGGTTACGCATGACTTGACAGTTGATGCATCTACTCTACATCATTTCATTTCAGATCCTGTGAAGGTTCTGACAAAATCTGAGGTAAAAATGGCATTATGCAGTTTTGCGGAAAGACTAAATCTATCTCATTTTGTCTTCAGATTTTTTTTTGTTGGGACACCCAATTGAAATCCAAATTTAGAACACTGTGACACCATGCCTGTGTGCCAAGTAAGAGGAAGGGTCTACAAGTATACATCAAGATAACCAATTATGGACAAGTTGTGACTTGAGTCATTAGCTCTTATTTGTGGTTACAATACCTTCCACTGCATGATTTTGCACAACTTCCATACAGGCATCCAGACTGGAAAAGGTTCAAGTCCATACTTATTCTGGTGCTTGAATATGGCAGTTCAAAGATGGAAGGCATATGATGCTACAAAATGAAAAAAGTAATTCAACTTACAAAAAATAGGTATTCATATCTATCCTAAACTAAACTAACCTAAACTTACCTAACCTAATCCAACCCAACCCAACCCAACCACCCCAACCAGCCCAGCCCAGCCCAGCCCAACCCAAAACCTACAGTCTTAAACCTAGAGCTAAAACCTGCAGCCCAAACTGGAAAACATCCATATGGTACGCCGGACGCCCGTGAAGCCGTCATGCGCCGAAGTTCGGCGCAAGCTATTTTGCAATTTGCGCTGAAATTTCTGCATTATTTGCGCCGAAGGTTAGTGCCCTTTTGCGTCAAAATTAAGCCACTTATACAAAAAGCACGTTAACATCTGCTGGCCAAGGTTTTATAAACCAGACAGAACGCTCTGGGCCTTAACCACTCCTGACTCCCATGTTTGAGCGTCCAAATTAGTTGATGTTTCCATGGAAACTGAATACCACAATACGTGTAGCGCACTGTAGCATCGTGCCGTGAAATAAGGCTCGGGACGGAAGTTCCGGGGTCACACAAATTGGTGTGGCGGTGTTGTCGCGGCTGGCGGGCACCAGCAAGGGGTTTAAGTTTACGACACCACTCTTGTTTCAGGAGAGGTGTCAGCGATTCGAGACTACTTGGGCATGCGGGCAGCGGGGTCGGCGTGGCTGCCTGCGGCTGCGGCCACACATCTTGGCGTCCTGGAGGCGGAGATGCTGATGGTGGCATGAGTCATCACTGGCTGCCCGATTTCCATGCTCCAAGACTCGCCGTGAGGGCCGAGGCGGGCGTCGTGCCGATGGAGAGATGAGGAGGGATGCGCTGGCATCGCGCCTACTGGCGAAGGCGCTCTCCCTCCCGTCGGAGGACCCGCCGCGTCGTGGCGGAAGCCCCCCCCCCCCCCCAACCGTGACTGAAGTCAGTGACCGGCTGGAGAGAGCGCGGGGGAGCGGTGTGGGACCACTGGAGTGGCGCTGCCCGCCGAGGCGCGCTTATCCACGAGACTGCCCCCGTAGACGCCAACAGACGGCGTCACGGTCCACCTGGACCGGCTGCCGATCGGGGCGTCCGCGACAGCGAGGAGGAGTGCTGCGGAGGCGTGCCTGGGAGCGCTCCCCCAGCGTGCGACGTGGGCCTGGGTCGACGGGTCTGCGACCGGGGGAGTAATAGGAAGGCGGCGCTGGGGTCCTCACCGAGCACCCAGACAGTACAACATTGGTACTGCGGGAGGCGGCGGGGAGGATTTGCTCCAGTTACCGATCTGAGATGGTGGCGCTCAAGACGGCAAAGCAACATCTCCTGGAGCACCCGTCCTTCGAGGAAGACCCCATAATCATTTGCTCCGACTCGCAGGCGTCGCTGGCGACGCCACGAGGTGGACAAGTGGCCCAGACACCCCCCCCCCCTCTTCCCCTAGGTGCCGCCATCTGGGAGTATATGATGGCCCTAGTGGCTGTAGGGGGCCGAAGAATCCACCATAGAAGGAGGGCGGCGATAGCCCGATTAAGCTGGGCGTCCAGTGGAGCCTCGGCTCTATCATGGGCATTGGGCAAGGACTCTGCGAGCACCCCCGTCTCCTCCATCTTCGACGGCACTCCAATCAGAAAGCTGTCCCCACCCGAGTTTCCCAGCAGCATGGGCCACATGAAACCGAACAGCGCCGAGCCGCTCGACGCTGAGGACCAGGCGAGAGTAACAGTGAAAAGGTGAAACGCTCGAAACGGCGCGCGCCGCCGGCCGAGGGCGCCGAGCCGGCCCAGGCCGGCTGCGGGTCAAACAGAAGCCGTCTCCGCGGCGGCCGCCCAGTGACAGCGACTCGGACTGACGTCGAGGCACCGCTGCCGCCTCCGCCGACCAACCCGCCGCCCAGCAAGGGCAGTTTGAAGGCGGCTGCGCCGGTGAAGGTGGCGCGGCCTGGCAGGGGCCGCGGCCGGCCCACTCCCAGCTACCCGTCCCGCGAGGTGCTCAGTACCACCGACTCGTCCGATTCTGAGGCAGCGCCGTCGGCGGGCCGCCGCCAGCAGTGACGATGACCGGCTGGCGGCGTTCGCGCGGGACTTGTCCGACTCCTGGTACTCGGACTTGCCGCCCAAACTGGACGCCGGCGGCGTGAGCACCAGCAACGCCAATAAAAAGTCCACCTTCATCCGGCTCTTCTCGCACCGTGTCAAAAGGACTACGCCGCGCGGCCGGCCGGCCAACTCGAATGAGCGCAGCGAAGGGCACACGTCCCCGACGGCGGCACTGGCGCCTCCCGCCGCGCCGCTGCCGGCGTTGCTGGCAACGCCGATCCAGGCCCATCGATTTCTACTGTTTTGTTGCCTACGTGCCGCTGCCGCCGCTCAGCCAGCACAATGGCGTGCCGGTGTTGCGCTGTCGGATCGAAAAGCGGCTCGTGCAGCGGACGGACGGGTGCGGCCCGCGCGATGAGCCGCCGCCGCACACCGAGCTGCGCCGCGCGGACGTGAAGGTGGAGCTGGCAGCGGCCTGCTCAGTCCCCTCAACGGCGTCGACCGGCTCTCCGGCGATTTGCGGTCAGAAACGCCGCCGCTTCTGGGACCAAGGTGTCAGAGCGCGGCGCTGCCCGTGAGACGTTAAGTTAGCACAGGCAATGTCGTCTGCACTCCTTGCAGTTCATGTTGAATACACAACCATGTTGCGAAGTAATAGGCGCCGGGTTTTTCAGTTCATAGAACTTTTTCCCTGGCTATTACACCCCACAACCGAACACTGACACCTTGCACAAGTATGACTGTGTGTATGAATGTTAATAAATACATGAACCAATGTTGTGTTTTCGGTTCCAGTACCTTCTTTGGGCACCTCGGCAACAAGTAAGTAATTCGTTAGCTTTGCCACACCTAAGATAGGCTCCCACGTTGTTATTTGCTCCCGGGTTAACATAAACCGGTTTAACGTAACTTTTGCATCCCGGCCAAAATTGCCGGGTTAACTGTCCCACCGCTCGAGACTGGCGCTATAGGCTGGCCGAGCAAAAAAAAAAAAAGTTTGTCCGCGGCTTCGTCTTATTCGCAGCTGCTGGACACGGGGGAGGGGGAAGGAGGGGCTGCATCGGACGAAAAGCGATGAGGTGAGCCCTAATATTGGCTTCACCACACAATTTGAGCCCTCAAACTGGATTCAGGTGAGCTCGAAAATGGGGATCGGGCTGAAAACTGGTTTCATAGTGAGACTAGTTTTAAAGCTTGACACCGATAATGGGTACTGACTGAGCTCTGTTTCTGCGATCAATGATATACCGATTAAAGGGATCGGGTTGAGCCCTCAAACTGGATTCAGGTGAGCCCGAAAATGGGGATCGGGCTGAAAACTGGTTTCATAGTGAGACTAGTTTTAAAGCTTGACACCGATAATGGGTACTGACTGAGCTCTGTTTCTGCGATCAATGATACCGATTTAAGGGATCGTATGATCCCATGTGGCGTTGCTCAGAAAGTATTCTCGAAATGTGCTGTCTGTTTTGAATATGGTACATTAGCCCGAAAACTGGTCTCTGAGACCGAAAATGGGGACACTGTTTTCTCAGTGTAGGACGAATGACATGATTCCGATCACAGTAATATACTTTCTATTCAAATATTAATGATATGAATTGTTTGGCTCTGGAGTACTTCTTATAAATAAAAAGTCACACCTGTAATTGTTTGAATTTTGTGAATGAATAGCGTTTCGTCCACTGGCGCATCCAGCTCAGGGTTTTGGGAGGGGCAAATCATAGCAATATTCTTTCCATTCGCTGTAGGGTAGACCGGGGCAAGTCGCCCCGCCGAGGTAAAACGCCTCACCGATGTTTCTCGGAACTGGCAAGGTTCTGGGGAAACATCCTCTCTTCTATAAAGCGTGCACTATACGATCATTATATGAGCAGACTGGAAACAAATTGTGATGACTCTTTAGGGAGATATAGCCAAAAATGTGTTTTTGGAGTGATTTTTATGTTTTGTTGTCAGATTATGCATCATGGCGTTCTTTTATCGTCCACATCAGGTTAACGACTTTTATGTATTTTGAACAACTATTGTCTAACGCTTACAATGCCGGGTTGGTTCGTGTTAAATTATGTCTTCCTGGAGTGCAAGGCGTTATTCTCTGACCGAACTACGTGATGGGGTAAAACGCCCCAGTAGGTCGCGGGGCAAAAAGCCCCATGGGGCGTTTTACCTCATGTGTTGTTCGGACTACCCACTTCCTAACGTTCGGTAGCTGGCGAACGGTATGTTTCTATGCATTTATATGTACTTTTCTCAGCAACTGGATGGCAAAGGAAGTATTTTGTTAACATTTGCATTGCAATAATTTATTATTTGGCCTTATGAGGCAGGTGAAAAACCTGCTCATACAATAGTGTCGTAGCTGAACACCTGATAGGATGGAAGGTGCTAACTTCAGTGCCATGCCTCCCAAGGTCCAACGGACCTTTCATATAAGATTTAGTCAACTAGCATGTTTAATCTTTAATCTAGAGTATGGGGCTTCTTGCCCCAGGCCGTGGGGCGTTTTGCCCTGGGGTTGGGGCAAAACGCCCTATTTGCAGTTGCTTCACAAACCACTTCCTAGCTGGGAGTCCGATCATAAGTGAATGAATTTGAGGGGTGGAAATTAAAGTAAAATGTCCAAAGAACGCATTAAGCACAAATTTGGCCTTCCAGGTTATGTGGAATAAAAGTTATGTAGCAAAATAAATTATCTGGGGCGTCTTGCCCCAGGCTACCCTATATATGAGGCGAAATGGTAAAATTTTGCCGTTTGGGAGGGGCAGTTGCCCTATTTGCCCTGCCCTGGATCCGCCACTGATTTCGTCTCCCATGTTTCCAGGCCGCACTCCGCTGGATATCGACTGTCGCACCGTCCGCGGGGACCACGCGGCGCTCACCAAGGACCTCAAAGTGGTGTGCAATGTCAATGACGGCATGCACTGCTTCAATAAAAATCAGCCTGGATACGTTAAGAACTCCTGGAGGTCACTATGTCTCGATTACAAAGTTCGTTATTTGTGTGGAAATCCGTATGTGAAGCCTTTACCGCCTCCAACGACTCCGATCGATCCAACCAAAACCTACCCCGTAAATATATCGTTCCCTATCACCTGTCCACCCCACTGCTGGGGTGGCTAGAATAATGGTGGGTAGAGGCTACTCATCGGCCCCGAATACATGAGCAAGTAAATAAATACGTATCAGGATAGCGGGGCTTTTCTATTGGCTGAGCATTGCGAACCTCTTAATTACACCTTTACATCTCTAGTAGAGATGTAAATCGGATACCAATTTTTTGGTATACCGATACCAAACCGATACCAACTTGGTATTTGGTATTTCGATCCTAATGTGTTTGGTATTTTGTTGGTATCATGAATCCTCACTGATGTATAAGAGGCTAAGAAATCGGTAAAAAGTTGGTATTTCTCTCATGTTCCCAAGTTGGTTTGGTTTCGGCATTTCCCCATGGTTTTGGTTGGTATTTGGTTTGGTATCGGTATTCCGATTTTCTGTAATTGACATCACTAATCTCTACTCATGTATGTACGGCCCTTCCGTTATAAAGTAGATGGTAGCCAACATCACAATAATCGATTTGCATTAGTGAAAACGTCTATAGGCCGTAAAGAAGTAACTTTTGTTGAAGTGTCCGCACGAACCGTCTTTAGTTCATTGAGTCATATCAATGGAGTGTCTGTCATTCAACGATATTATACCAAAGGTACATACAAGCAACGAATAACTTACCTTTTTTTTGCTGGAGGGCCGCACCTATCCGCACCAATTCTTGTGACAGAGTCTTTACTATTACCACTTCTTATTCTTAGTTTCTAATGCTTCGGCCAAACACTTTTCATCCTAATCACCACAATACTTAACATGATGCTTCTTTTCAAAGCGCAATTTTTATCGTTCAATTTCCTTGCAATTTCCTTTGCAAAAGAGTGGACAATCAACAACGCTGATGCTCTGTTAAGGATGTTTCTACATCCGTATATTTGTAAAAGGCATTGATACATGCATAACAAAGCCGGCGTATAAATATAACAGCATAATAAATGCTATTCCTCTCATGCCCATCTACAAGCGGCGGCGAACATACGCGGTACAGAAAGCGGGCGTCAATCATCTTCACATCTATGCAAGGCCACCAAGGTTCGATAATCGTCCAGCTCCAGCCACATCACAGCCAAGCAGACCTGACTTGGACACACACGCTGGAAGCCATGTACAATGCATAGCGGCTTATACCAACACTAGCACACTGACACTCCCAGCTCGATGCACAGAGAAGCAAGCTCGTCAGCAGAGGCGGATCCAGCTCAGAGTTTTTTTTTTGGGGGGGGGGCAAACCATAACAATTTATCGATTCTTTCCATGCCTCGTCCATAGGCGTAATGTTAAAATTATGCCGTTGGGGGGGGGGGGCAAATGCCCATTTTGCCCCCTCCCCCTGGATCCGCCACTGCTCGTCAGCAAGCACGTGGATACAGGTCCAGTAAAATTAATTCTCGTAACTATAAAAGTTCGTAACAAAAGTGTCGCAACTACTCAAACTAATGCCTACAAAATATACATACATAGGAACGTTTCTTCCGCGCCCACAAAGTCATTGTTGGTTTGAAGTTTTGAACGTCTTCCGAATATGCGTTGCGACTTCAACAATTTTACTCTACAGGCTACATGACAATCATAACAACTGGGAAAATGAGCTCAATCTCATAGTAAAAGCACTGTACAACAAACTTACCTACCTAAATGCTTCGCAAAACCATGCATGTCTTTCAATGCTTAATCCAGCTGAGTTTATGATAGTTCTTCTCTCTGCCCTCAAAATACATGACTGAAAGCTTCGATTCATTGCATCTCTCGCACTCGAAACAAAAGCACAAATGCAAACCACTGATATAAACACATCTCTCATTAGCATATAACATACAGATAACAGTAGTCTCATAGGCAAACCAAGATGGCCGACGCGGCACTTTTCCGGCACACCAAGATGGCGGCGCTCAGATGATGATGCACGCCTTCGGCTTTCGCTTTTCTACCTGAGGACAGAGCACTGCGCGAATGGCCTCGTCGAAGACATTCTTCAAGCCCTTTTGCGTGAGCGCCGAGCACTCGAGGTATTTCACGGCGCCGATTTCCTTTACCAGCGCCAGGCCCTGTAGCATTAGATAACGTCAAAAGAGGCAATGTTGTAAGCAGAGACCATAGAATGCTAGCGAAAATGTATTTATTACTATACCTAATGGTTCAGTGGAGCCAGATAAAAAAGTACAAATGTAATTCCGGGTTACTTTATCCCGCCAATTGCCAATCACCGGCCAGGCAAATCTCTCCATTGAAATATAACATAATAGGTACATCGGGGCTCGCACAGACTCAGAGTTATTTCTAGACACATATGACATGAATGCTAAAAGAGTATCAAAAAACCAAACCAAACATCCAAGAGCACTTAACACAACTTTGCAAGCATTCTTTCAGATCTCTTTCTCGTCAACGTCCAAAAACCCCCACTTCACCAACAACCAAGCCAAAGTTTTACGCACGTTTCACACACCACCGTCTCGTCGACATCTCTCACCTGGGGGTAGCTGATGGGCTTCCTGTCTTTCAGCTTCTCCAAGGTGGCCTTATCCTCCCGGAGGTCCACCTTGGTTCCCACGAGCACGATGGGTGTGGTCGGACAGTGATGACGGACCTCCTTATACCACTGGTCGAAGAATGAGTAAGGCAGGAGCGGTCAGAGACAGTCGCTTCATGCGTGTGAAACACTGGAGTAGATTTACTGGGCATGAGCTTTTGCGACACCAGTGACCACAAAGACGACGAAATTGCGATTTGAGGCAATTTTTATTAATTTCATGCTACTCTGCTCCCATCTCTCTCTCTCTCTCTCTCTCTCTCTCTCTCTCTCTCTCTCTCTCTCTCTCTCTCTCTCTCTCTCTCTCTCTCCTCTCTCTCTCTCTCTCTCTCTCTCTCTCTCTCTCTCTCTCTCTCTCTCTCTCTCCCTCCCTCCCTCCCCTCTCTCTCTCTCTCTCTCTCTCTCTCTCTCTCCCTCCCTCCCTCCCCTCCCCCCCTCCCTCTCTCTCTCTCTCTCTCTCTCTCTCTTCATTCGTGTCCTTTCCTTTTCACCTGTTCCCAACTAGACAGTCTTTTACACTCGTCACTTCCTTTCAACCATTTCAACCATCTACCACACCAATCTCTCCATAGTTCCATGCAGCTAATTCACACACCTTGGTTCGAACATTCTCGAACGATGTCGGGTTGACCAGCGAGAAACAGACGAGGAATACATCGGTCTGGGGGTAGGAGAGCGGCCTCAGGCGGTCGTAGTCCTCCTGGCCGGCCGTATCCCATAGACCGAGGTTGATGGGCTTGCCGTCCACCATGACGTTTGCAGAGTAGTTGTCGAAACTGGTGGAGAAAAAGGTGGTGGTGATACAGGATGCAAGAGAGATAGGCGGATACAATGGGAGGTGCATGTGGGGTAAGTCATTGTCATTGAATAGTTAAGTCAAGTCATTGAATACGTAGGTGTGACTTAGCCATGTTCATCGTCCACTGTTCCACGCTTGTTCAGTTGTCACTGGTCTAGTTATCCGTTCAGTTGTCCGTTTACCATGGAGGACCCATGACCTTTCCCCGTCTGACAGCGTCCGCGTAGTTAAGCAAATCCCCGTCCTGTATCGCGGTACACGGGGAAGCCATTCAAAGCCGGCCCGGACCTAACGTCACATGAAGCGTGACACGACGTGAGTATTTGTGACGTAACTGGGTGACCGAGTGGGTGTCACGTTGAGTCATGTCATCACGTGTAAGTTCTTTTTCCTTTTTGTGACGCAATGTCAGGTTACCTTACAATGCAAACGGTTCAGACGGCAGGCTGATCGCGTAAGATTATTAAACTGGCTCAGGAGGGCGAACTGAGGGCGCACGGCACAGCCAGGAACTAGTGTAAACTCGTCTGATAATAAATGGGACTGTTTGTTTCCGTAAATGAAAGTTAAGTCAGCGCTAGTAGATATAAAATTGGAATAGCAAAAGATCGTCGTTTAGCCTACCGCCGTCGTCGGACGTCGTGCGCAACAAATGAACTTTATTTCAACAAATTGTTAGGAATTTCTTGGGCAAAAAAACCTTTTCGAAGTTCCTCATTTCTAATGTTCTTTTCTTCTATTCACTCCACGAAAAGCATTATCAGTTGCGCTTCTATTTTATATTCTATCGTCTATCATACGCATGTCTCCTCTATCGGCGCAAACGTTGTGCTAGTCTCACGTCATAAGTTAATTCCGTCAGCGCCAAGTCATAAACACTTCCGTCAGTAGCCGCTGCTAATATCTCCGTCAACTGCACGCCATAAGCCCCCTCACAAAACCGCCAGATCCCTGTGCTGCTCCGCTCCTGGCACGCTACAACACACGCCGCACTGAAGGAACGCAGGAAAGCCGTGTACGGACGCCCCGGGCCGGACGTCCGGCCGATAGCTCCTGTCGTCTTCACTCTCCGGTCACTCTGTCTCCCTCGACTGTCCAGGGTTTTCAGCGTGTGGACAGCCGGGCTGGCAAGATTTTTGTGTCTGGACGCTGACCACAGCTGACAACCAGCCGACAAAGGAAAAAGGGAGCACAAAGCAAATGATTGAAAGCCGCGCTGTGACGCCAGAAAGTTATATTGGACTTTCTCGTCTTTTCAACTTCGATATTTCCCAGAAATGAAGCCTTATATTGCAACGACCCTAATCAAATCAGAGGATAAAGGCGTAAGTGCCGGTGATGGTGTGAATGTAATAAAAACAGATTATAAACAAAGCAAAGGTAGACAGCTGACAGCAAAAAGGACGGGTGGCTATCAAACCGAAATACTTTGGGGTGAAATTCGGCTACTAATTGCGAAAACTAAGGAATGAAATACATAAAATAATCATGGTAACGTCAGGAAACAAGCATACGTATAGATGCACATTGCATAAGCAAGGACTCTTCTGTTGCATAATGCAAAGTCACACTCTCAAACTCAAAGTCAAACTATACCGCAAGATGATCTGGGCCATCTCGGAAACCACACTGAATCACAGTCACCAACTCACCATCCATAGCCAGCCACGGCCCCACCGAGCCCTCTCCTCCCCAACCCCTCCCCCACTCCATCCTCCTACCCACACGATCGCCCGTTTGGGTTCGGTCGATGATGGTCCGACGCCCCCCTCCCCCCCCCCCCCCACCATCCCGCCCTGTCACACAAGACCGTGACTCAGAGGCATACCGTCTCTGTGCAGTGTCGGATGAACAACCGACACCACGCGCACGTGAGCAATGTCTGGCGGCACCAACAAATGACAGATACCACCGAGCCTCCCTAGGGACGTCTTCTGTAAACACACCACGCTGGGCGCGAGAGGGGCGATTACTTTCCACATCACGCCGCTTGGCTCTGTCCCCATCAGCCGCCATCCCTATCGGTGATCGGACCGTCTAAACCATGACGCTGGTGATTTCGGCCTTGATTCGTAAGATCGCTTTATCATTTTCAGTCTTTATGCCATGCGACACTGAACACATCAAATGTGGGCTTCAAATGCACCGCTAATGCTGGAGCATAGGCGAAGCGCACCATACGTCTCATGGGAATGATCACTGATCAGTATCGAGGTCGGTATCAGTTTATTTAAATCCTTCTTTACACAGTGACTCTTCCGGTTTACCGTCAGCAGATATCGTGCACTGTGATAGCTGATGCTCAATGTACGTTCAGCAGGGTACGCCTCCGCGGCATCTCCCGAAGGAAGAGAAGGGCGAGTCGCCTGAAGCTACCGCTGAACAGAACATAAGCAAGCCGCTCTGTTCGATCGGTGGTCCGGAAATCAGTACGAAAATACCCTGCTCACGTGGTGAATAAGGGAAGACCGGAGTCACACCAAAGAGTCGGCATTGCATTGCGTTTACAGTTACGGCAAAGTATTATATGCTTCAATGATAATTGGAGGTAGAATTATTAGGGACAGAGTTGCGAAGAAACGCCTAAAACGTGCAACTTGACATAATAACGAGCAAACAAAACATGCTCTGTGCATGTGACAGTGAGTCAGGCAGACACTTGTCTATAAATATACTCACACAGTTGGGATATATTCTCCCGGGAAAGCATTTGTGGTATAGCTTATGAGCAAGCATGTCTTGCCCACCGCACTGAAACAGCAGGAAACACATTGCGATGAATCAGGGCGAATCAATGCGAATACCAATGGGTGACATTGATAAGCTATCGACGAGCATCACAAGTGAGTCATGCTTTCAGATAAAGATAAGTGACAACACTGAATAGTAAATCGGTACCATTAACCTAACGATAGTGGTACATTCATACAGGAAAGGTAGCATGATAGCAAACATGATAATTTATAAATAACATACCTATTTATTAAGAAAAAAACATTAAAAAATACTTACCTACTTAAAGGGACCCTCCCACCTTAACATTAGATTTGAGTTGAGATAGCCAAAATGGGGTCCCTGGCTCACAATTACCGGTTTCGGCACTCACAACATCGAGAAATGCCTTAAATCGGAAATATTGAATTTCAAAATTGCAGCATTTTGATTCAGAGGGGCTAATGCTAAGGAATACCCCTCTGAATGTGTGACGTCAGCACAAATATCTAACGATTTTTAAATGTTTGACTAAAACGTTTTGTAGCACGCGGTGGTATATGCTATTTGCGCGCAGCATCTGCCGCAAACGCCGCACTTCTAAAATAAAGTCGCTAGAAACAGCGGAGATCCCAAAAAAAGTAAACAAAAGTAAAAGTCTAATATCTTGAAAACCGGTGAATATTTTTCGGTGAAATTTGGTAGATATTCGTTTTCGCTCTTTCTGAACCGAGCGACATCACTTTCATGCCAATTCATAAACTTTTTTGAAGGTGGGAGGGTCCCTTTAAAACAGAATTTCATTCGGTCTATACTCTATACCTAACTTCATAAGCGACCGTAAGTTACACCTTAAAGCCATCGGCAGTAGGCACTAATCAACCCCCTACGGCCTACCCATGCAAGGGATTGGGTATATGGGAAGGGAATGGTGTTCAAAACTTACCCATCTCCAACCACAACGCACTTGATGGCCTGCATATTAACTAAAGTTCAACTAAAATACACCCAACTCTTCTGATCACGTGTAGAGCCGTGCAATGTGTCACTAAAAATCAAAACGCACTATGTCCGAGAGCTGATGCAATCTGGCGGATCTTTCTGCTCGTATTGATCCTGAGTCCTGAGTAAAAATGCTGAGATCACCTTGCTTCACAACACAAATATCGCAAACCGGGCGACGACCGCCGCTCACTCCCGATCACAAAACCAAGACGAAGCGACAACGCCCTGCAGACACACACGGCGGAAGCTGCTGCGCCATTTCTTAGCGCAACCGCGTCATAGATGTGTTGCATCAAGTTCTATTATTATCCCGGTATCTTTGCTACTTAAGATGTCAGCCTGTTTAAGTGTTAAAACGATAAATATCAAAGCTTGCAGTATGCAATCATGCAAAATGCAGGTATTCAAAACACAGTTATCTACATGAAAAGTTAAGCAAGTACAGCATGCATAAAACCACCACTAGGAGTGCACAGGCTTTGCGATGGCGTTATCTGCAGCCTCGACCAAGGTGTAGGTCCCGACACCTACTGGCAACGGGAACAACTAGTAGTCCACAAGAGACGTTCGTGACTCTAGCGGAGAACTTGGCGCAGGGATGAGCCACTGCAGATCTCGCAGAGCTCCGAACAACCCGGTATGATAGGTCTCAGTCAGGGACGTAGCCAAGGGAGCGCACGGGGGCCATGCCCCCCTCCCCGCCCCTGAAGGCGAAAAATAAAACAAAATTATGTAAAAAATAAAATAAATAAAAATAGCTGCACAACACCTCCAAAAATAGTTGGCCAAATCCAAGGAGTTTTCCTTTTTTGGAGGGGGTACGACCTAAGGCCGCGACCTGTGGTCCCTCCCTGAGCAAAATCCTGGCTACGTGCCTGGTCTCAGTCTTAAGACGAATAATGCAAACCGCCGTGTAATGTCTTCCCAACCGCAATGTCCTGAATATTATCCGTAATCAAACTTACCTATAGGTATGTGCCTCGCCAACATTACTGCGCTGTGTCCAAGTTTGAAAAGAAGCCTATGTCAACGAATTTGTCAACGAATTTGTCAAGTGTCGCACCTCATGGGAATTTTTCACAGTGAGGACTGAGGATGTGCTTTAGGCTCCTCTGCTTATGGGTATAGTGGTCTTCAATGAAGCGGTATACACATACGCATCAGAAGAGTTTATTGAACGAGCGAGAAGCCTTGCGTATCCCGCTGGCTGCTCTGACGACATAAGCGCATTCAGCATTGAGCATTTCGCTTATCTAAGTAGAGTTATCTAACAGTTCGAGTTAGACAGTCAGGAACCAGCGCAAGTACGCATTGCGGTGCAATCTAAGTTAAGTTTATCTGCAATTAGGGTCTGCCGAACCAATCAGAGATTTATGTTCCATGGTGCCGTTAGGTTCGTTCCAAAGTAAGCGGAATGTATTGGTTACATCCCAGTCAGGTAATGCTGATTTGGTTCTATCACATGTTGTGGATTTGTCTCGTTTCGTGCGCTTAGGTTAATACCACGTACACGATTCGGCAATTGAATTACGCAAGCGTAGCTGTAGGCTAACATGCATGCTTAAAATATGTCTGCGATATGCAATGTCGGTACATGCCGGCTCTGCAATGGTCTTGTCGACCGAAAGGGCCTAACCCAACAAAACAAAAAACAAAAAAATCGGTACATGCATGGTTCGCCTATCAGGCTGCAAGATCGATAGGCGTTATCACAAGTGTATTCGCGGCCATTGGGGCGACGTAAGAAAAGAAGAAAACAACTGGTCCCAAGAACTTTAACTTATCAAATAGCATGCACCTTTTCCTTGATATGTAGAGAGTTCACCATTAATTGTTAGAGAAAATTGCATTTAAAATCTTCCATTTATGCTTTTTTCATCGTTTGCACAGTATGTTCTTTTACTGAGCTAGAAACACTAATTAGAAATAGTTCCCGCATCATCAAGAACAATAGGGAAGGCTTGAAGTGAATACATTAATCTAAACGGTTTTGTAATCCATGTGAAGACACTTCTAAAATTGCATGTAGAAATATTAAAGGCAAAAGTTCAACTTTTTCACAAGACGGATGGCTATAAACCTATTCAACGTGTGACAACTCAGCCGGTATATCGTCGCCTACAGCCCAGCTTTCCATAGTGACCGATAGAGGCGCTGCTATCGATGTCCGCCCGTGCCGCCTAACGTAGACTCGAAATTGAAGTCATCTGTAATAAAAGTCTGTTGTATTCTACGAAAGAGAATACAACTTATTCTATACTTATACAAATCTGATGAACCATAACATACACCCAGCAGGAACGGATTTACTGAAGAGGAGCGAGCTCAACATACGACTCCGTGAACGAAACTCATTTGGCTTCACGCGAAGACTGCATCCGTAAGCTAGCCCTATTTCACGTAACAGGCAATCGTCAGTTCAATAAAAGCCGCTTTCACGACGGATTATCTGGCGAATGAACCTAATTTGGCCACTAATCTGTACCAAATCTCTTTTACAACATATATCTTCATATCATGACTTTATGCAGAATTTTAATCGAAAATAATGTCTGATAATTTGAAAAATCACGTACCTAAGCAACTGTGCAACCCAAATTGACAACTTCTGAAAAACACAATGAATCTAAATTGACCAAATCTGCATCAAATCTGCACCAATTATGAAATACAGGCATGGGAGAAGTTGCCCCGAGGAACGCAGGGAACCCACGTACGGACGCCTCGAGCTGGATGGCCGGCTGATGACCACCGACCTCCCCCTCCCTCCCTCCTCCCTCCAGGGGAGGGGGGGGGGGCGTTGGATCAAGCTTACACACATGGAAGATTTATTGGGATAATTTTGTATTTGGTTTTTACCGGAACAGGGATCCTCTTATAAGCATATTCCTAATCATCGCCACACTGATTTTCAAAATTACTATTTGTGAAGTAATAGTTTCGAGGACACATGACCCCTGATGACACATATCCCTGATAAGCTTGTCAACTAAACTAACTAGTTTTAATAACGAATTGTTCTTGGAGCAGAAATAAATGACAATCACCAATTCATTTCAACATCGAAAGATGTAAACTATAAATCGTCTTCATTTCTTCACACCATTCCTGGTCTTTCCCATTTCCAATGTCATCAAACTCACGGATTTCCTTGTAAACATGGCCATGACTCGGTCTAGAGCTGATCAAACGCGCTTATCGCGTCTCTTAGCGGACAAACCGAGCTACCGTGGTAGGATCTTAGTCTGCCAGCTGCGACTTAGCCCGTGCTCATGTTGCGCCTTTCTAAGCTCCTTGGCATTGCTGCCTGGATACAACTGGAGATCGTTGGTCTGGGAAGCAGGTGGGTCATATGAACCACCAATGACATCTGCGAGATGTTTTGTTACGTCGATTAGCTCAAATGTAGGACATTTGGAATGGAATGTTCATATAGCATCTTCATTTCCAATGCGTCAGGCAAACTTTCCTTCCAAGCTAGGTCAAGAAAACAACATAAAACAAAAATATAAAATAGAAAATCCATGCATAGTGTTATTTATGCATCGTTTATGCAATCAATGCTTCCATGATGCGCAACAGACAGACAAACGAATGCATAAATATTGTTGTTGTTGTTGTTTTTTTTTTTTTGCTTGCACCTGCATACACAGTAGTTATTTACGTACAGCATAGAGCAGCTTTGAAATAAATTTATGTAACTTATCATGATAGCACCTCTCCTGTTTTAACTCTATGGAAGCTACCTCGCACTTAGTGTCCAGATGAGCTTAAAGAGGCGTATTTATTCTTTCTTATAGGTGAATCATAGCGGCTTGATATGGAAATCATTATATTCACGCGTGACCTCCAATTTTTCCAGCCATCAATTGATTTGACAGCCCAACCCACAAAAACGCAATGGGGCTCTGACCAGTGATAAGCGGCCTATAACCATTGCAGCTTATGCCAACATATTTGACTTTTATTGGACTCTTCAGTCACCTCCATCAGCGTCCAGAGGGGGTGCAAAGACTGGCACAGAGGCAGCAGACACTGACAGATTATCTTCTGAAGCGTTTGAAGTTACCGACCAGTGGGGTCAGCTGGACGCTGCAGCTTTTATAACGGAGTCTACACCATTGTCGACGAATGGCTGCATGTTCACAAGGGTTTACCAAAGTCTCACGGTATGTAGCATGGGAAACAAATAGGAGCTGTTAATGCGCTTTATCATGTGATAGTGCTGAGCAGTGAGCACATTGTCATGAGTAGAAAACAAATAATTGTAGTAAAGTACAACAATCATTAAAAAAACGTAGCATGATATAGAATTGCCGTTTTCACGACGGGCTATCCGGCGAGTGCACCTAATTTGACCAAATCTGCACCTAATCTCTTTTACAGCAAATATCTTTATTTTGGCCGTTTTCACGACGGAATAGCAGGCATCTATTTGATACCAATATAATCCTTTGGTTCCTCAGGAATTTTAGTAGTTCTTTTTAGTAGGTTTACCAGCTTTCGAATGAATGGCGCGTTAGTTTGCTATTTTTCTATTAAATATCACATCGATTTACTTTATCTAAGGATTTATCACTAACATCAACATAAAGCGTAAGCACAATTATAAAATTATGAAATTATTAAATACTAGTACAATAGTTAAAAAAAGATACTGAGTTGCCACACTACAAAAGATATATTCATTTATGGCGCACGACAGACATTTAGAAAGCAGCGCCCTGTTTTATTGCACGCTGCTAGCCGCTTCCATTGGGTTTTGCAGGCCGACGTCATTGGTTGTTACACGTATGATGTCACGCGACTTGTGGCCTATCACGGCTCTTTAATGATCTCCACTAAATGAATGCAACAATGGCCTTTTAAGTTGATATCTGTGGCCATCTGTCTATGGAGCGACCAATATGAAAGTTAGATGAATTTACCGGGGTTACATGACTATGAGCAAGCAAATGTGTATCAGGAATGGATTCAGGTGGAGAATTGCGCTGGACCATGAGTGCTCGAGCGCTCCCAATTCCACGCCGGTTTGGCTTTGGAGCCGAGACAGACGATGCGGGTCAAGGTCACCGCTGGGGTAGCGCTGGATTGGCTGCGCCCGAGCACCCGTAACGCGGCACAATTCTCCATCTATAGATTTTCCTATTCGCTCAGCATTGTGATACCTAGGTGTTCGTAATAGCAATTACTCTGCTTATGTACTTATCCCCGGTTATTTAAAAGAAGTTTTTGTGAGGGGAT